CTATAAACACATATATCATAAAATGCATGTCAATATAGTAAGAATGGCACCTCTAACACATAGAAGTTTGACACCTCTGACACTGTGGGGCACCGTGAAGCAGCACCAGACCACCGGCCTGACACAATTCCGAGCACTGGACTGCTTGATGGGCTCAAACCTTATGAAATCCTATTGATATCTATTGATAATGGATGATAATGGGATATTCTAGGGAACACTACTGTCCTTTTGGATCCTTTTAGGACAGAGGGGTCGGTTTGGCATATCTTTTCTTACCATCTAATCATCCACCTCTTGGTTGGAGAGAAGCTTTCTGAATATCTATGAATCAACCAATCAGATCCAACCGGGCAAAGGACGCCGACAGGGAATATATATATATATATACATTTATCTAAAAACATGTTCCACAACATATGACACAATGGATATATGGAAAATAACTAAATAAATAAATAAATATATATATATATTTAACATATGGAAAATCACCATTTTGAATCGGTAAATCAACAACTAAATGGCCATTTTCCATAGCTAACTGTTAAATGGGACCCAAGGGTATGACAAGCCTTTCAAGCCTTCCATCAGTTTGGTGTCTTCAACTCATCCTTTAGTTTTTCTCAAAAACGCAGGGCGTCCGAAGAAGTTATTTCAAGGTTTTTCCATATGGTTTTTCTATGTTTTTTCTATGGTTTTTCTATGTTTTTCCATGGTTTTTATTTGATTCTTGGGCTCTTTTTCTCTGTTCCGAATGGCCCCCCAGGGTGTCGGAATGTTCCCTGAGGTCCCGCTCCAAACCGTCGATGTTTCCCATGGCCTGCAGAGACGATCGATGAAACATCTGGGAGGCGTTCGTCAGTTGGGATGACATGACATTCCCAAGATATGGAAAAATAATATCTATATATGATATATATATATTTGTTCCATATATATTTGTTGGGATTATGACATATATATTTGTCAGTTGGGATTATGATATATATATATTTGTCAGTTGGGATTATGACATATATATTTGTTCCAAACCACCAACCAGACTATATATATCATAGTGGATGACTAATAATATTTATATAGATAGTGTATTTACTATATTAATAGTGGATGACTATCACTATCATGTACCAGACTATTAATATATATATATATATAGTGGATGATATTAATAGTGATACACTATTATTTCGTATAGATAAAAATCTGAACCATATGTTCCAGTTAGCACCAACCAGTTATAATTCACTAACCTGAAACTTGCGGCCCTTGTGGGATGATTCGACTTGGAGGGATAACCCCAGGACGACTGGACGGGATTTATTTTATGTAGGGTTACCCTCTGGTAAACGTTTACCATAGGTCAATCACCACTTTTCATAGGTAAATCAACAAACTAACTGGGCCATGTTCATCCATTTTCCATAGCAAACTGTTAAATTACCAGAGGGTACTTATTATCAAACTACTGAGTGGGACGACCTTCTAAGTACACAAATTCATCGTAATTCACCTGTTGGGTGGCTGTGATCTTCTAGGTTTGGGGCCGGGTCCCGAAACGCCGCTGACAACATCTGGGCATTTCTTGAAATGGAACCCCAATCATCTACCAAGAATATCCACTGAGTCTTACTAGAAATTATTAAAGCAGATTTAAGGAGTTGATTTTAGATTGACCAAACTTTTCTCACACAAACACAAGCACGTGGTCGGTGGTGTCACCATCCAGAAAATGATTGGTCATTCGGGGTCGTCATCGCACAACGGAATTCAACAAACGAATCAGACACTATCATCTGAAGACCCAGAGCAGAAAACGGGCTATGTCTAGTTAGCGATGGATTCTTCAGCCTTTCTCGCGCCAGTTCCTTCACACAACCCACCGGTGGAACCACGGACTTTTGAGTGAAACAATCAACACCGCCAAGGTGACTGTAAAACAAGACTTTCAATGGGTTGCTCTCTGGCTTTTGCCATTCAATGATTTGAAATATGACAAGTGACATATTTGACATGGTGGTTTTCCACAATGTCAATTGCACATGTGCTTTTTCCTCAAACCAATTCTGGGAGACTTTTATCCCTTCCCTCAAAATCCCCAAAAAATACATTCAACCCAGAAACCATGGTTTAGTAAGAGATAAAATCATCTATTTGCGACCATCGAATGGGTGTGTTCTATGTGAGGGGATGGGATTGCTGGTACCAGCAGAATCCGCCTGCGCCTGCGCTGCCACACGTTTTTCCCGCTGCTGATAAACTGAAGGCCTACATATATGTATGTTGGCCTGAATCGAATCCGGCAGTGGGAAATCCGTCAAAATCCCGTGACCAATCCATGTTTTCATCATTTTTCCAATAGAAAGTCATCTGCAAATTGATGTATCAGTCCATGTTTGGTCATTTTTCCAGTAGAAAAGCATCTGCAAAGTGATGTTTTGATGGAGTTCTCATTGTCATTTTGGGATATTTTGGGCAGGTTTTCCAAGGCCACGCTTCAACCTGGACGGTGAGAGGTCGTGCCGACGTGACGAGACGCAGGTCGGACCTGAGAGGAAGGTGAGGCCGCTGAGGTGTCGATACATGCAGTGAAGATCTTAAGTTTCGTATGGGACATTGAACCATGCATAACTGCATATAACTGCATATAACTGCATATAACTGCATATACATATAATTGCATATAATTGCGGCATATAATCGCATATAATTGCATATAAAATCATATAATTACATATTTATGTGATCATAGTCAGAAAAAACATCACCAAACACAACTATGGTCCGTATTACATTTGCCCAAACATAGGCCCAAAGGTCACTGGGGATTGCGTAAGTGGCAGGTGGTCCAGCCATGTTGTGCCATCTTCCACGGCCCGGTAGCGCAACTCAAGTGGAACTTCTTTTGCAAGGCATGTCAGGAAACGAGGTCGCTATGCTGCTGGCAGCTTGGATTTGGATCGCTTTAAGCGTCCTGGTCTTTCTTGGGCGGGCATCTGCATCAACGGCTTCTGTGACTCTTGAGTTCTGCAATTCATGGGAGGTTTGGCTGTGGCAACAAAAGGACCGTTGACCCAATTCTGGATTGTTCGGGACTAAGATCGTATGAATCAAATCCGGGCAAAAAACATCAACATACTAAACCATGCCAATTTCACCGGAAATGGGTGGTATGGTAGTAGAATTTTCCCAAACTTGGACGTTGATGGCATTGGGTTTACTAACCCCCAATGATGGGACCCCAATTCCAATATAATCTTCCCATATTATTGGGGTTTCTGAAACGGGAGATTCACCATGGGAGAAACGTATGAGAATGGGGGTCCCATCTCCATCATTGGGGTGGAAGAGATTCCACTCATTTTTGGGATGATCAAAGCCCGTTGAAACTGCCCGTGGCCCAAAAAGGGCCCCACTTCCTCCCACTGGGCGCCAGAATCTCAGGATGCTAAGGGTGGGTAAACAATCTGACTATTTACCAATATTACGATAGTATACGATAGTTATCTTACCCTCTGGTTATGACTAACATAGCCATGGTATAGATGGCCCATTGAAATAGATGGTTTACCCATTAAAAATGGTGATTTTCCATGGCTATGTTAAATACTATAACCAGATGGTAATAGTCCTGATGGCCACTGCTGAGAATCCTTTCACATATTAGTTTCATTGAAAAGATCTATGTAAGGTAAGGAATTCAAAACAAATGCTGGTCACTTTGGAACGATTCAGGCCACCTCTCTGTTCTTTCTTCCCTCTCGGCTATGTCCAAGCCTGGATCGTGGATGAAACCTTGATGTGGAAAAAATGCCACTCGGCGTTGTTTCATAGTTTCACTCTTGGTTACCACATAGGCACAACCAGACAGAAACAACATGTCATTACTTTTCTCAGTGGTTCTTCCGTTGGTAGTTTCAACACACATGACAAGTGATTGGCCAATTTGAATCGCATCTTTTTAGAGATGGAATATGTTTTTCTGACTCATAACCACCAGGCTTTTTCCAGGATGGCCGGTCAGTGGGATGAAAACGCGCTGAACAAAAGCGAGTGGCTGGGACCTAGGGTAGAACTCCAGAAATCCCAAGTCATCAACGCTTAGCGTCACGAGAACAGGAGGTTGAGTAACGTTTTTTTTTGTTTTGCGGGGGCGGGGGTCTTAAAAATATTAGACCAACATCCATATTGAGACGTTACAAAAATGCTTTGCCCTCAATTTAGATCAAACATTGATCAAGTACTACTAGACTATAGACACCTATAGACTGCCTCGAAATTGGAACTAATTGGGTTGGGGGAACCTTTCGAAACCCTGGGGATGATCTAAATCAGTGAGTTCCACCAGTTTCACTCAACGTGGGAGCATTGGATGGCCTACCCGGCCTAGCCCTCTCGCCCATTTTTTGTGCAAAACGTGCAACGAAACTGCGAGGGCGCCATTTCACGACTCACCATTTGGGCGAGAACGGCCAATATGGGTAACCCCGAAGACTGCTGCGATTCCTATTCATCTCAGTGTGATGATTTCAGAGGGAAATATACTCCTATCCTATCATGACGGGGCTGAGCAGCTTGCCGGAGAAATAACCAGCCCACGATTAATCTTGGATACTTCCCCCAAAAAACTGGATATTATACATATACTCAGAAAATGGCTGAACATTAATATCCTTCATCAGCTTCATCCAGTAACATCATCAAACATCCTTCTTTTTTTCATGACATGACATGCGCCTTGCCGTTGGTTCAACACTATTACTGTTGGTTGTCATGTTTCCATATGTTTCCTAACACCGCAACTTTCGCTGGTGATTATCTTGGGAACCTTCTTCTTCGCAATCGAACGGTCAATTGTTTCATGTAAGAAAAAACTAGATGAAAACATGTGGAGGTTTCCTAAAATAGGGGTACCCCAAATCATCCAAGTCATTCGACCATGACTTAGTATTGAATCCAATGCTGACTGGTGCATCCATTTCAGGAAACCTCCATTCAATCCATGGGCTTTCCTATAAACTTTCCTTTCAACAAACTCACAGAGACAGGGGCTGGGTTTACCCTGCGGTGCAATTTTCCTCACTACTTCTCCTGTGCGCAGTCTGACTGTGCGGAAGCCACGGCGGAAACGGTGGCGGGGCCGTCTCGAGTTGAAATCATTGTCTTGATTCAAACAGGTAGATATTGGGTAGCACCCCTCATCAGACCCATGTATGTTGGGACTAATGGACTGTATAATCTGTCTATTCAGTAATCGCCCAACAGATGCAAACAAAGAATCAGTTTCCCGCAGTTTCCCGTTCTATTTTAGAACATCTCCGATTTACCCTGCTTGTTCAGGCTGCTTTCTGCGTCTTTGGGGGGGCTGCTATATGGTTATCTAATTTGACCTCAATGAGTACCTAAACATACGTACACTACAAACCCAATGTATCCCAATGTTTTGAGCGTATAAACTCCGTATCAGTGATAGTGATTGAATCCATGCATGTCACCCTTCGGCCGTCACTACTATCATTTCAGCACCCTCTCCAAATACCCCATGATTTTCGGAAGAAATCTTGGGAACGATTCGATCTGGTTTCCATCCCGACCTTGGCGAGAGAGGCTTTCTATTCTTCTTCGCCCGCGGCAGCCAAGATTCTGGGGATGCGGAGACTTCGTTTGGTGTTTCACTTTAAAAATACCACTCGGATCCACTAAGATTCTCTGTGAGCCTAAGCCAATTTCAGAACCTCTGCCCATTTGGGGTTGATTATTGGCGAAAAACCTCTAAATAGGGGATGATTCGACATAAACCCCAAATGGTTGGTGGTTTGTGGCATTGGGTATGCCTCATTCAACAGAAAACCCGACTGATCTTGCGACGTTGCCACGTTGAAACTCACCTTATATCTGTCCTCGCTACAACCCCATTGAGGCCATGAGGCTTCTGTCTTTGTCTTGAAACATGTGGGAAACCAAATGACAACATCCAATGGTTCTAAGGTTTAATACATGCCCGAAAACCAACAACCCAGGGATACCCAGGGCATAGGGCCACCCATATCAACTTTGCCAAATCTCTCCATGAAGAAACTCTTCATTTGTTTGTCCAAGCAGCTTTTGCAATTTGTCCTTGCTCACGAAACCTGTGCCTTTGCGTTCCTGGCAGAAACGGAATTTGAGGTGGATTCCCTGCAGGGGAAAACCCCCAAAAAGACAGAAATAGTGACGACACGCAACATAAACAAATAACACATAGACATACAATAGTCAATAAATCAACAAATGAAGACACAAATCAAGCATCATAAGAAAAAACAATATTAAATACTAAATATTATTTTATCTATCCATTTTATCATATGAAAACATAACTATCAATAACATGCATCGCAGTCGATGTCCGCACCTTGCATCGGCTACTGGTGGAGCTCCGTCGGATCTTTTCCTTCTGCTCGGCCGTGGTCTGTACTTCTTCCTCGTCCTCCTAGGTGAAGCACTGGATATGGAGAAACATCGCGGCCAAGCCTAAAAGATGGGCACCTGATTTTCTTTTAAAGCAAATTGGCAAGTATATATATATATATACACAATATTATAGAATATTATATATTATATTCTATCATATTATGTAATTATGTATGCGTATTATATACAGCTGTTTATAAAACAATGCGTCGTGACGTTGTTCTATGAGCTATTGCTTGACCGAATGAAGAGATGTAAGATGAGGTAAATTTATTTAAATCACACATTTCCGAGATCTGGTTGCCAGAAGACTGTTGTTTTTGGGGTTCCATCAATAAAATACCAATGGATTTCATGAAACAAACATTTGGTTCTAAGAAACGTGGAGATTTCAACATATTTCAACAACGGCCCTCGAAAACTGCGGTTGTTTTAGATCCCAAGATCCCGGTTTTGCCCGCATACCGGGATTTACCGACTGGCCGCGTCCTCATCGTCAACTTTTGACAGGATGTCCATCATCATAGCCTGCAAAGCTACCAGGCTAAGAGGTGGTTAGATGGATATCACCAAAACATATACATATATATACATATATATATAAATACACACACACATATATATATACACACACATATATATATACACACATACATATATATATATACATATATATATATACATATACATATATATATACATATACATATATATATATATACATATACATATATATACATATACATATATATACTGTAGTTCCCTACACTGGCAGCAACCAAAACCAAGATGGGGACCCCTGGTCCTATCAAATCTCTTCTCCTCCAACACAACGCCTTCCCAAGGCACACAGGATTTTTCTATGGCTGCAAACACGGTGCAAATCCAACGGAAGGTTGCTACAGGCTACCCAAGCCCTCTGGCCCTCCTGAGCCACCAAGTTCTCCACTGCATCACGGGGCTCACAACTGGTTGCAATCGGACAACACGCTGTCACTCTCTCAAGCAGTAATGGGTTATCCACGGTGGTGAAGAAGTGGCACCAAAAACGCACTCCTAAAAAACTGTTTCTTTTTCTTTTGTTCTTTTTAGTGAATTATATTCCAAGGTTCATGTGGTTTTTGAACGTGTCTCCTTTCCGGAACCAGCCCCCAGGCTAAAGAAGTGGAGTTCACAGGCTTATATTTTTTTTTCCAAGGAACAAGTTGATACAGGCATGCTTTAAGGTGGAGAGCTATTGGTCAGAGCTCTTCGGAACTGACTTGGTCATCTCCTTTCCCAGCAGTCATCATCAACGCAAAAACATGCAAAGCGGAGTCGATGGAGCTTGATTGCTGGTACCATTGTTGACGGATCTTTTTGTCGGCTCGTTGACGAAGGATCTCATCCACGTCATGCAAGATACATTTTCCATGTTTCAGGAAGGTACGCAAAACGCTGGTATCCATTTCTTTGGTTAACGCATCGGCCATTTGAGCTGCCGAGTGTACCCATTTAACATGGACTCCTTCTGAAAGGCGATCTTTGATTACAAGTGCTTCAAGCATCGTGCGATATTCTGAACATTGGGGGGTGGATGTCTTTTGTAATAAATCAAATAGGCTCTTACAATCTACCACTGCAAATGCATTCGGCAATGTTTTGAGGGTGATCTCAGGGTTACGCCAATTGATAGCGGGGTTATTAATCCAAGCCCAATGCATCCTGATCCAACTAAGAAGATCCAAGGCACCAGATAGGGCATATGTCTCTGAGGCTAACGTGCTTGCAACTACTCGGTTGATCTTCTTGGAGAACCACACTAATGGGCTGACACTGGAAGATTTGGTTTGATCGATCTCGTCGGTGGTCGCCAAAATCAAACAACCCTTTTGTGAGTGTGCTTTTTCTCGAGTAGCAAATGCTGCATCTGAAAACGACAGAAAACGGATCTTGTCAGGAGACATGGATTGAATTTTGATGGAAACATCGGAAAACCTTTTTGCATCTGCCAAAAGTTTATTCCCATGCATCAAGTCAGCCACAGTGGCACAAGTGACCTTGGCTTGCAACAAGCTCAGTCTGCACGACAGGTCGGGACGGCTGTTTGTCGCTGCATACTGTAAGCTTCCAATCAGGCCACGTAGCTGTTGAAGTTCATTGGGAGTGATCTTGGAGTCATGTTCTTTTCTTCTCTCCCTGGGGATATCGATTGGACAAATGTCATTTACGTAATCCTTTTGATTCAAGACAATATCTCCATTGGGTTCCTGTGTAATACCAACCCCGGTAAAGGTGAAAGATCCCTGCCTCTGACTACCAAACGGAAACCTCGCTTCAAGTGCTTTTATGGCTTTGGCGAACACTGCATCTCCGCCACCTATGCCATCATCTACGTGGATTCCTAGGACTCCATGGATGTATGGTTCTCCTGGTGCGGAATTTTTCTTTGGCAAAACAAAAAGACAAGGGTCAAGAGGAGAAACTAAGAACCCTAAATTTTGAAGTGCCCCCTTGAGTTCGATATACCATAGCAGGGGAGCATTGATAAGGCCGTAAGCACCCTTTAGAAGTTCACATGTCTCATGGTCCTGGAGCTTCATTCTGCAACGCAGTTCTGCCGGGGGTTCAACTCCAAGAATTCGAGAGTCTTGTCGACTCCCCCTGAGAAATGCTGTTTTGATGTCAAAGGATTTCACACCCCATCGGTGACTGGAAATGCACTGTAGTGCCAGCATACGGCTGTCGCGGCCCAAGGTTGGAGAGTCACGGGGAAGTGAATCAATTTGCGGATCCTCGTACCCTAGGATAACAAGTCTGGCTTTGGCTTTCTTGTTGAGTCCTGTCTCTTGTTGATCTTTTTCATCTAAGTGCTTCCAAGTGAGAACCCACCTAGACCTTAGGAGTTGTCCTTCTGGGATTTGGGATCGGAGAATTTTTCGAACGGTATCGGTTGCTAACCATGAGTCAATTTCTTTATTCTTTGCTTCAAGAAACATTTTTCGTTCTTCGGGTGAAAGATCTTTTTCCTTGACTTCTACTTTCTGTCTCTTCGCTGCGGATGCCAGGAGGATCTCTTGTTCTCCATAGGTTTTTCCCAGGCATTTCTGAACTTCTTCCATGGTCAGGAAAATTTCAGCTGATGTTCCTCGAAAATGGTGTGGCGTTTGGACTTGATAGTTGATATGTTCTGGACTTGACGTTTCTAAATTGAAAGTTGTGGTACCTGTCCAAGGTTCGGGCATGGGTTGGTGGCTTTCCACATTGACTCTCCATCGTTCTTCCTTCTGGAACGTCTGTCCTGAGAGGAAGTCGCCTCGGGAACTACGCATGTCACCTATTTGTTGTGGATCAACTGGACAAGACCAAGCTTCTTCGGGAAAGAACATGTTAATCCTCGGATTTACATGATGTCTGATGAGTTGGTCTCCAGATACTTCCCAATAGTCATGATTTCTGTGGGTGGCTATTAGGTCATCATTGACCTCAACAGGGACTGGCACTTCCCATGGTGCTACGTCATCCTCAGGGTTATCTCCGGCTGATGTGGCAGGTGCCGTGTTACTTCCCCCGGGGATTTCTGGTTCATCATCTGGTTGGGCAACGGAAGGTGGATGAGGAATGTTATAGGTGGTAGAGTTATCCTGATTATTAGGGTTACTGACAATTATTGTTTCAGGTCCATCATGGGGATTATTGGAATTTCTGGTGGCTTGATGTTCTGGTCGATCTGGTGGCTCAAGTGGACTATGCAGACCTGGTGGACCTTGTTGACCTGTGAGTTCTCTGTATTGGAAAACACCTGATCCACTTCTGTCAGGCAGGAAAAACATGCGGCGATCGTCATCTGAAATCGATCGTGCTTCATCCTCCGACAGTTGTCGAATGTGTTCAGGAGCGCATCGGTAGATCCTAGTCAAGTGACTCACCCAAACAAGGTTTCGGTCCTCAACCATAAGAATCTTTGCGGGCCCATGCCACGATCCATCCTCAACACCTTTGCCTGATCTCCAAAACATGACAATGTCACCTGTTTGGAAGGTGAGTCTCTCGGGTCGCGATCTTGCGTGCAACGCACGTCGCAGTGTTGCACTATGATCAGCACGGATGAAGGCTATTCGTGCGGCTTCACGGCGGGCTAACATTTGTTGGAACTTGTTCCCCTCCGTTGGTCTGACATCCAGATCTGAGAAACTGGCACTGTCTAGTTGGCCGGAGGCTAAACTTCCTGGGACAGGTTTCATTTTTCCTAACACCCAGAGTTCGGGGGTGTACCCTTCATGACGGGACATGGCATTCTTGGCATTACACAAATGAATAAGCCCCTGATTGAAGTCATCATCGCTAGAAATAGGCTGGTCTTTGTGGTACTTATCCAACATGTGTTTGATTACTGCTCCATTTCTTTCTGCTCTGCCAAGCTGCCAATGAGCCTCTGTGGGTATAACGTAGCTCTGGATGTTGTGTTCCTGGAGGAACCTGCCAAAGGTTTCACTGTTTGCTTCCGTTCCACTGTCAAACATGAGATGTTTTGGTGGACCAGCCCATCGGAGCCAGGCACTTTGGAACGCGTCTATGAGCCCTTCTGTCGTCCCTTGATGGTAAGGTATGGCAACATGATAGTTGGAAGCAGAGTCTATAAAATGATAGAACCTATATGACTTTCCATTTTCATCTTGCCATTCTGCAGCATCAAACGATACTTGATCATTAAAATCTCGTGGCTCACGCAAGTGTCCCGGTCGGGAGATCTTGGGCTTTTGTTGTTCCACGCAGACAGGGCATGTGAAGTCTGCACAAGCTCGCACAGAAGACTCTGACCATCCATAGCGTCTCAGAGCCAATTGCAACACACGATTGTCAGGGTGTCCAAGATTCTGATGAAGTTTCTTCACAATGTTCTGGGAGGATTGAGGTAATTTGGTAAACATTGGTCCATGAGTTTGGGTTTGAACATGGTGTGGTTCACGGGTTTCTGAACTGGTGTCTATAAGTGGTAGTTGTTTGTTCTTGGTCACTTCCGGATCAGGCACATCAGGTACTATGCTGTCAGGGTTATTCATCGCAAACTTGACCCTTTTGGCTGAACTGGTTTCTGAGAGATCGGTGTGAGGTGCACTCTCAGGACGCTTCTGGGTGGCAAAGACTGTAATTGCTATTCGCGCAGCAGTCCCATTCCTGATTTGCTGGCGACGAGACAAGGTCTCCCAGGCTTCCCATTCTGCATCTTCAAACACTTGGAGGTCACTGCGTTTCTTACCAAACACTCTGCGCAGTGGTGCAAAACCCTTGGAGCCTATTGGACATGTTCGACGGCGGTCCACACCTCGACAGATGTCTATTACTTGAACTGTCTTATCTGGATACAATCCTTGGACAAAATCAAATAAAGGACCCTGTTGAACAACCAATTTGCCAACTCTGGGAGCACTTTGTTCTGCCATGTGAATCGCCTGAGCAATCATGGGTGACCTGGTTTCATTACCACAGGACTGAGGAATTGAAACGGCGGATGCACTGCCATCGCCTGCAGGAACTTCTGGAACAAA